CTTCTTTCGGCGGATTCGGTTTTGCTGGTGCATCGGCATCTTCCGCATTTAGCTTAGGCTGCGAAGCACTTTGACCTAGATGCACAGGGCTTCTCTCCCGTGCCCGCTCTGGACTTCGCCGACCAGCTTCAGATTGCACACGCTCCTTGCAATCATGCTATGAACGGAAGCTGTACATAGTTCTCTCCAGAAAAGAGCTAGAGGAGGCAATCCTCTGTGAAAGAGAGAGGACCCGCACAACCGTACTGTAAGTGCAATCGAGTTAAACCTTTTGTTTGGACAGGCCTAGATCCCCGCCTGCTTGGGTGCGGCGAAGTGTGGAAGCGCCTCACCTGTCACGTGGCAGTGAGGCCCAGGCGTCGGTGCAGGAGTTGGTGCCACGGCCTGACAAAACATCAAAAGGCAGCATGGTGCACGGACAACCTTAGACCTTTAGGAGTTGGATGCAATGTTCCTTAGATCGGCAAAAGTTGCAAGGCATGGCCACCTCGTGAACGGCTTCTTCGGGGTGCGGTTCAGCATTGAGCTGAGCCTGGAAAGTTGTGGCATTGGAATCATCGGAACAAGTGCCTATAATGCAACATCTTATAATGTAACAGCGTGAAGCATGCTGATATAATATAATATAGCATGGTCTAATATCAATACACTACAGTCTCCCCCCCCCAAAAAAAATATATATATATATCAAACAAAATATGTAGTAAAATGATGTAAAATGTAGTTTAAGAATTACTCTATTGCAACATTACATTACAATATATATATATAATAGTGCACAGTGTATGTGTGTTTGTGCTTGTGTGTGTGTGTGTGCGTCCTTGGGGTGGGACAAGGTAAAATCACCGTTATGGAGTTCTTGTGCCGTTGAGCTCATTGCCACTATAATGAGCATGTCTGCTCCCACACAGCGGCCTGAAGGCCGCTAAGCCGCCACAAGATGCTGCCAATGGTTTCTCCCTGCGTGCTTCTTCTGTTTGGTGCGAATGATCAAAGAATGTCTTTCAAGTCCTTTGGCTTTCGGGATCCATCATGGTTACCCGGTTACCCTTATATACCCCTGACAAGCATCGCATAATCATCTCATAGTGTACCGCTTACATCCGTTTACGAATTGTGAGGGTGATGTGCCAACGACGAGGTCACTGGCGATCCCAGCGGCCTCAGGCGATCCCACGTGCCCTGTCGAGTGGACAGCGACCTCTGGAATGGCCTGCAGATCTCGTCGACCGCGCTGGCAGCACTTGGATATTCAGGATATTCCTTCTTCATGAGTTCATAACGATTAGATACTGCTTGGATGTCTTTGGGGTTGATTGAGATTTTGGGCCCCATGGTTTCAGGCTGCACATCTTCGTCCAAATGCATCATTCATCTAGGGGCAAGTTCTTGGGGCTTACAACGCTTGCTAACCTGAACCCTGACCGGAACCCGGCCAAAGGACATGAAAGTCATATGAAGAGCACGGTCAGGAGCATGTCGCACCTTCAATTTTGCAACGATGGCATCCAAGCGTTGAAAATGCCTGGGGAGGTTGGTAGAAATGCCCACCCGCAGTCTTGACGCAGGCAACCCCATTCTCATCGCTGTCATCACATTGAATCAAATCCAAGGATGCCATGCCAAAAGGGCATGGAATGAAAGGAACGTAATGCACTTAGTGTTTCGTCCACCAATTCTGAAGATGTTCTTGGATCGTTTCACAGCTCATCGAGACAAATAGGTGCCGGGCAAGTCGAAGGCACTTTGGTTCTCAGGCCTTGCTCTGACGTTCAGACAATCGAAACCCGTCCAATGCAAGGTATGAAGAAGGCAATCTGATTGGAAACCAAAATTCCAAGCTGATTCCAACTTAGGAATGCCAATGCGTTCAACCAATCTGAATCATGCTCCCGCTGCTGAGCATTCACCTTAAGCTTCAATGACCCTGACAGTGGGATTGGCCTACAAGCCTTTCCTCCACTCCAATGCAGAACATATCTCTTACAAATGCACTCAATTGTACATTGGGATTGGGCGATTCTGGTTGAAGAAAGATCATGCTCCCACCCGGGCCAAAATTCACCACTTACTTCAGTCAGACCACTCGACTCGGGTTTTCCAATGCGCTCTTTCTCCGTCCGCAGAGATCCAAAGGTCAAACGGTCAAACGATCAGAAGCTTGAAGCTGCCGCTTCGCTTTTCAATTCCATTTCATGAAACTTCTTGCGTCAACAGTCCAGTGGGTTTGATGGCTGTCAGCCCCACACGGGCAACATCTCCTTTAGCAATCGGCAGCGGGGCTCAAGGCCCTCCAGTGGTTGGCCTGCACTGGGACTAAGCCGTTAGATATACAAACGACAACTTGTCCCATCTCGCAATACAAGGTAACTTTGTTCAGGCTCCAACTTGAGAAGAAAGGTAAGACAAAGCATGCACTAGCTGCTAGCTAAATGTGCCCAAGTTGAGGCGCAGCTACGGATTTGGAATTGACAAAAAACAGTGGGCCTCCTCGGTGGCAAGCAGAAGAATTCATCTGAGCGGCGGATGTGTGAAGGCAAGCCAGTGAACACCCAAAAACATATATAGTTTATTTGTTTAATGTTATATATACCTTACACATGCTTATACTTATATATGTTTTAAAAATACTTATGTATACTGTATATACGGTCACGCAGTTCTAGTGTCCAGTGTAAACTTCCAATAGATGGCCTTCACATAGCAACTCTGGCAGAAATGGCACCTCAAGAGATCCGAAGGGCAACTGCCGCCTCCAAATCGCCTGGAACATGTCAGTGAAGTGACTGGTAAGACGGGGAAGAGTATGAAACGGCTACGCAACTCTTCCAAATGAAGTCCTTTAGCATCTTTGCTGCTTCTTTTGCATTTCGAGTGACGTGAAGGTTGTATAAGGTTCCTTCAAAGTCAATGGAGTTGTGTCTTCAAGTGCTACGGCTTTGGCTGTTTGCAGGATTCACCATCACATAATCATCCGGTTTCAGTTTAGGCCTTGTTTGTCTGCTTGAAAGGCACAGTGGTTGCAGTTTGCTTATCAGCCAAAATTTGATGATGCCTGTGTTCCGCTCATCTCGAACTTTTTGGATAAATGTTTGCTGCCTCATCTCCTTGAGGGAAGGGCACTCGCGCGGAGCAGTGAACCTGAATTGGGTTCCCTGTACATCAAAATTCTTGCGGAGCCTCTCACTCCATGAAAAATGCCAATACCGGCGTGGAACGCCTAGGAAAATATCGGACAATGGTACCCCGCAAATATCCAGAGTCCATTGCATTTGGCAAATCCACTAACAGCATCTTCACACATTGAAAACAGCTGTATAAAACAAGGTGACGGGTCCAGGAACGGTCCTGCAGATTGGTTTTCTCATGGTTTTTGTGTCTTGTTTTCAAAGTGCATACATGAAAAGCATGTGGTTTTCTACCACATTCAGAAGCGTGTTTTTGGAGAATCATATTGTGTATGCCCTAGTCTGGGAGCTTAAAATGGAACCAGGGGCTATGTCCATTGTTTTAGTTGATTCTCGATGTTTCAGCATCTTGACCACATCCGCATATAACAATGACAACAACTTGTTCCTACTAGTAAGGCACTTGTTCCTAGTAGCGTCCTTGTTAATTCTAGTAAGGCACTTGTTCCTAGTAGCATATGGGCCAACTTGAGTTTCTAATCTAGGCGAAAAATCAGGCCACCCCGCCTGAGCTGTGGTTCCTGTAGCGGTCCCACGTCGTTTGGCTTCTTTTGCTTTGTTTTGTGTCATGTTGCGGAACTTAGAGCAACTGCAGTAGCAGAACAACTTTGCCACAACAGCCAAAAAGTACATGGTTCGGTGCTCTTCCGTGTGCCAACTGAGTGCAACGTTCAATGTTCGTTCGGATTCTTTCCCGTTATGTTGACAAGGATGGCCCACAACGAAGACAGTGGAATGTCACCAATGTAACAGACATATTCGGCACCAGTTGCATCATCTTCAAAGTGTTTTGAGGCATTTAGAGGCGATTCTAGAAATGTCAGGGTTTGAACTTGAGTCAAGTTTGAGTCTCCATGAGCAAAACCATATGTTGAAGAAAGTATGTCTCATTGTCTTTGCCTGGGGGGCGCGTGTTCTCGTGGGGTGCCGGGAGAAAGTTTTCACAACTTGACGTCGAGAACCTCTACTTGTGGGGATGGTAAGGCGGGTTGGGGTTGGTCTGGAGGCGCGAAAATTCAAACACAAAAAACAAAAGCACAAAAAACAAATGTGTTGCGCTTTTTTCGGCCCCTCCCCCCGCCCCGCACGGGAGAAGATAGAAGGAGGCAGTGAGCCGACTACAGTAGCAAACACACAAAATTACATCATATTTACATCATAACAATCGTAACTCCTGGACTTCGTGTATTTGTTTGTGTGAACCACCTTAAGAGTTCTAAATCTGCAACACTGAAAAACTAAGACCTCTAGTGCATACCTTTCTGCCCAAAAAGGGGTCCAATATTGTCCAAACAGGTCAGTAAGCGGTTCAGTCCTTCTTCACTTTCTGGGATGTTTTTGCTCACCTCGTGGAATGAAAAGTTGTTTGAACAGCTTGAGGATTTGATGGAACCAGCTCATCTATGGGGAGGTTTTCAGCGAAAGCGATCTGTTGCTAAAGCTCCCTGATTCGGTCTTGGATGCGTTCCACAGGCGTCACTGACCCTCTTCAATCCAGGCGTTCCACATAGTCTGACAGAGTCTCATTCTTGTGATCCCAGTGGATCTACTGGGCGATTCATTTCGCAACCTCCCCGAGGAGGCGCGGCTCGCAACGGCGTGCGGGTGGCCCAAGGTAGCCTCGGACGCCTCGTCACACCTGTGGTGACGACGCACGCGATGTGCGAGGCAAGTTGTGCTATCAGGTGTAGCCGGCTATGCAACCTCACTGCAGCCCCTTTTCGAAACCCAGGGAGGTGTGAGACTAAAAAAACTCATTGGGCGGAGGACAAGAGAATCGCATGTGTTTGCGAAGTATACTTCTGGAACATGACAAAGGCAAAGGCACGACCTACACACAATGTGCCAAATAAATAATGTTTTGGTTGTTCATGCGGTGCTGAAAGAGCACCACTGTCCCCCGTAAGACGCCCGGTGGAGTCCGGTACCCTTCAGTGGACCATCCACAGTAGAAGCACCAGAGGCACACGCAGGTGGAAAGCGGCACTATCATACTCCTGCAGAATCCATGTTGAAACTCTTATGTTTAAGAATGTTTAAGCAACATCATCACTGAGCATCCAAGGACATAGGCTTCAGAATCATGTCGCTCCTCCCAGGTCCATGATCCGGAGGAGTAGTCGATCCCTGTGCCAAAATCTTCCTTCATGCTCAAGCTTGGCGGAGCTGTTGAGCTACTTGTGACCCTCAAGCTTGTCTTTGTCACGGAGACCGACGTGCTTGTCCTCAGAGAAGTTTCATAAAGCTTCAGTGTTTCATCCAAAACAAGGCTCTTTACCGGCATTTACCGGCCACTCTTTAGTTTCTCGAAAATCTAGGAACCAAATGCGCTTCTTCAAGGAGGCTCAGGTAAGTAGCTAGGAGCTAACTCCCTTGCTCAATTAATCTAGTAGGAGCGGGCAAAAAATAAAGAAGACTCTTCTGGAAAGTTGTCAGATCAACAAGATGCAAAAAGTGGTAGTGCTGGGCTTCTCGTCGAGGGTCTGTGTCTGCGAAGTGGTTGTCGATGCACTTGACGTAGACGCGGTCGTTGTCATTGTCGATTCAGTCGTCGTCGCTGATGTTCTAGTTGATGAAGTTGTTGTAAAGGAAGTAGTGGTCTGGGACGTGCTAGTCGTCGTGAGTGTGGTCTTCGTTGTTAATGTCATGGTTGAAGAGGTCCTTGTGTGTGAGGATGAAGTGCTTGTTGTTAGAGTGACTGAAGAAGAAGTACCTCAGAAATCAAAAACATTAAGGAATTCGTTTATGTGAAGCGATGTGAAGTGTGGATCTTCCTCCTGTGCAACTTTTAAACAACTGCCAATCTGCGAATCCTGCCAAAACCTGCTAAAGCCCTGAGTGTGAACTCTACAAGAAGAGTCCCCACCGAGAGAATCGAATGACAGATTCTCCGAAGGGCTGGTTGTCTGGGAGACTGAGGTGGAACTGCTGGTAAGACCTGGGCACCGGCGATTGGCTAGCAATCTTCCACAAGCGTCTGACAAATGAAAATGTGTCGTCCACAAGTCTTCAGATTCCTTCGAAGCTCTCTGGACTGCACAGCTGTCGCAAGCTGCGATTGAGGCACTGCTAGAGGTCATGGAAGTTGTGGAAGTCATTGAGGTCGAAGTGGTTATTGAAGTGCTCCTAAGCTTAGGTTCTTGCTCAAAATGGACCATCCATTCCCCTGACCATCCACAAAAACAAAAACTTGTTCTCCATCTGTCGACCAAGACTCGAAGAAACTGAGCTCGAGCTGGTTTTAGTCGAACTGGTGGTTGTTGAAGTGCTAGCCGTTTTGCTGGTAGATGATGAAGTTGAACTTGTGCTAGTAGTTGTGGTGCTTGTTGTCGGTAGTCCTCAGGCCACTGGTGGAGGCATCTCTTCTTACGACTGGTTTCTGCTCAAAACCTGGTGCACAAATCTGGTGCTTGCTCAAGGACTTCTTTCAAGTCGACAAACCCAGAATTCGCAATGCCACCGTCACACTACTGTCCTCCTTCCAGGACGATGCTGCTGTTGGCCCCAGGGGCACCCACCACTGCGGTGAAAGGCCCGACATTGCCTCCGCGACGAAACTCAAAGCCAACCCACCCCACCTACCTACTGCACTGTAATGCCACCGCGGGGCTGTCCCATATGCTGACCCCTCGACCAAAGTAGTGAGATGCCGCAGCTCCAGACCATGTTACCTTCTCCTCAGTTGAAACAATCACAAAACTTGCATAATTCACTCTCAAACGTCTCGTCTCTTTCTGCTTCAACTGATGACCAGCCAATCAGTCCTGGAAGGACCACTGCCCGATAGCCAGCTGAGCAAAGATATATGCAGAGCCTCACTCTTCAACAATCCACACAAGTATCTTGGACTTTTTGTGTCGCCAAGTCACCACTCCATACGCCTGACTCACTGGTGAAGTAGGCGCCAACAATCATGGTGTTGCCTCATGAAGTAGGCGCATCGGTGCCGCTGTAGCTTCCACAGCCCTCAACCGTTCCCATCCCTCCGGTCCCAGCCTGACACATCTACGGAGATGCCAAAACGGTCTTCCTGCAGGACTTCAGCGCATAGAACAGCCAACTCAGCGCTTTTACTGCTCGCAATTGCGGAACTGTGAAGGGTCCTCGTTTGCGCCATCGGGCGCATAGATCTTGGTGCCGGTTCCCCAACCAGAGGAGTTCCTTGGGAAGGGCAAGCAGTGGAAGAATCAGTGGTGGTTGATCCTTGTGATTTGCATGCTTTCAGGCCACGCAGGCAGGAGGGCCCGCAACCAACCCACACCAACCACCATTGCATGCCAGGCTCCGTGTGTAAATATACACGGCACCACCCTGAGTTGGAGTTTGGGGCGGTCAGTGGCAGGCAGGGCAGGCAGGATATTGCGGGCAAGCCGCATTGACCTTCTCACCGTCGTCCCAGAAAGCTCCAACTACCGCAGTATCCCCAGACCTTACAGCACAGGGCTGAGCACTGGGCTGAGCCTCGTCTTTTTTGCCTGAGCATCCCACAGGGCTACAGCACTGGCAAACCTTGGGAGATGCAAGTCCCAGAGGCTGTCAGAAAGAGAAAGGATGAAAAAGCGTTGATACCTCTTGA